CCTATATCTGACTCTTTTAGTTTTAGGACTTACAAACAACCGTTACGTGAACAAAACTATAATACTCTCTTTAGCAACTTTGTTGCGAGAGTATAAATATAGTATTATCGATTTGAATGTTTATGAGCTTAGAATGAGGTTTATAATATCAATATGTTTGCTCGCACTGATAGACTGTGTTCCTGAGAACTTTTAAGATTATGAATAAAGAAGATATCTAAGAATTTTATATACTAAAAGTAACAATCACAAACTCCTCCTTCATCAAATACCTTTCAAGCTCTCCTATAATAACAATATTGAAGCATAAATACTTCCCAGCTCATTATTTATGAGAATTCAACAAAATGGGGAACGTTGTAGACCATGCAAGTTGTGGCACTGTCCAAGCTATCGTTTCTAGGTTTACCAATAAATATATAATTTTGAGAGCTGTCACAAACAACTATGGAATGAGTTCCAGAGATATTTTGAGGTTATGTATATACTGAGAGTTGAATACATTTGTAACTTCTACGTAAATGGATCCTCAATCCTTCCTATAATGTCTGGTCGAGCTCTAAATACTACCCAGCTCATTACACCTGAACACAAAGTTTTACGAAAAAGTACATCCAACAAGTAATTGACCACAAAACGTAAACAAATTCAAAACCATTTTAACAATTCTAATTTCAAATCACTTTTAATGCTAAAAATCTGAGCTTGAATCATGCTATATAGTTTTTGTTATTTTCATACCCTTGTTACCATAATTATGGACATTAAAAACATGATTATAACCGATCCCAATGTAACAAGAGCCTTATGCTGTCGCAGCTTTGGTATTTCATCGATGATCGACGATATGATCGCCTCGATTTGAACAAACTGCAAATAATTTTTCATTAGAAAATATGTACAACTTCTTATAGTTTCAGTCAACACTTACCACACTATCCAAACCTAGCAGGAAGAGCATTAAAAAGAAGAGCGCAGCCCACAAATGTGGCATTGGCAGCATGGCGATCGCCTGCGGATATGTGACAAATGCCAGGCCGGGACCAGATGTTGCCACCGTGGCAACTGGTATGCCGGATTGGTCTGTAAGGTTAAAAGAATTAAGAAGAATAGGTAAAATACTAACATATAGTGAAGGAAGTTGTATTTTTGGGCACATACGTGAAAGGAAACCCAACACGGAGAAAACAACGAATCCCGCAAATATGCTAGTCGCACAATTCACAACCGGTATAACGAACGCATCGCCTCTGGCATTGTTGCGAAAATTATTAAAACTAGCCATATTCACAATGCCACCCCAACCCGGTCCCAACGAGAAGAATATCTGAATTGCAGCGTCGGCCCAAACTTTTAGATCCAACAACCGTGACCATTCCGGTTTGATGTAGAACAGAATACCTTTCCAGGCGCCAGGTAGCGTTACGCCGCGTATAAATAATATGAGGAGTATGAAGAAAGGAAAACTTGCGGTGAAGTAAACTACTTTGCCGACCTGGAGGAATGTAAGTATGTATGTATGTAAATTATAAAAATATAAATTTAAAATATAAATTTAAAATTATGAAGTAGGTGGAAAATACTTACCGTTTTTATGCCGCGTATGATGCAGACATACACCGAGAGCCACACAAAGATCAAGCAATAAAACAGCGGCCATACCAAGTCACCTAATTCCTCAATGCTTCCAGATATTTTCAAGATCTCGAAACTGTAAATAAAATATTGAAAGTGGGTTTGTGGGGATGTGCCAGCAATTAACATTAATACCCACTGAAAGAACTCATCGGCAGGCGTGCGAAACCCAGTGTGATGTGTGAAGTTGCGCTGCGCTAGCTGAGGGGATTAAAAGAAATGTTTAAGGTATACAAATAATTTGATTGGCACTACTGATTACAATTTTTTTTATTTTTTAACACAACTAAGATGTGTTGAGTCTAACCACGTTTAGAACTTAAAAAATAGTGGTCCTAAAAATACATTATCATCCAAAAGAAAGGGTTGGTAATAAAATACTTAGGAATTCCGAAATTCAAATGCCGGTGAACAAGGTGACTGCGCGCTTCTGAAGCGCATATGCCAATTTTCAATCAAAAATCAGCTATTGTACAATATATTTCTTTCTAAGTTGCCGCCAAACGGATAAAGTTAAAATAGAAATCGGAAAACGACGGATAAAGTTAAAATAGAGGAATGAAGTTATGACATAAAATATAGAAAAAAACATATATTTATTCAGCTAAGTGATCATTAACTACTTATCAGAGATCTTCTAAAATGGGAGTTAGCTAGTCATTTATCCATACATGTACGGACATAAGGCATTCGAAAGCTTTGTGCGTTCACTGATTAGCAAAATATTATAGCAAATTACTAGTTAGGAAGGCCTCAGTTTGTCTGCAACGGAACATATTTGCTTGCAACTTGCAAGGATCCAAGCCAAAGGACTCGATTCTCAGGAAAGGACTTTCCACGAATTTCAATAACATATCTAAGGATGGACCGGTATTTTCTGTAAACAGCCACTGGAGTGCTTACATTCAGAATATGGGGTGCTTGAACAGTTATTGACCGATTTAACAACTTTTAGATTAGATATGGCATATCGCAAAGGCATTAATTGCAGAAAATTTTCTCGTAATATATTCATTAAGGACCCCAGTGCGTTTGTGAGTTTTAGTCTCGACCTTTTTCCACTTACATCCATAACCTCCACACAATGATCTGTGTTCCACACATTCTGGCAATCAATCCAAGGCAATTTTAAGGAAAACAATTTACTTAAAAACATAATTGGATAAGCGATGATCACCGAATAATAGCAGGTACAAATAAAGTTGACAATTACTATAGCGAAGCCGGCGCCTGAAAATGCAAAAAAACGTGAAATAATAATTTCAGAAATATTTTTTATTTTTTAACTAACCTTTAAATAACGGTGCCAAGCGAAAGACACCAATACAGCCAACGCTCGAAAATTGTCCCATCACAATCTCCATAAAAAATAATGGAATGCCACAAAGGAATAACATCAACAGGTAAGGCACCAAAAATGCACCTAAGAAACAAGAAGCGGATTCGGAAATAGTAAGTGGAAAATGGTAACTGTTAAGTAAAAAATAATTGAGCCTCCTTCGAGCCGGATTTGAACCAGCGACCTATGGATTTCAACATATCAAGATTGCAGTAGAAAATGGCAATGCGAAGCGTTTTATCAATTAACCCAATACCTTGATGATGTTCATCATTGGGATCGATTATTCCACAGCAGCGCCACTCTATTTAACAACTGAACTTCTACAGTCCACCGCTCTACCAACTGAGCTATCGAAGGCGTTGCTTACCGGCTGGAAAATAGCACGCTTAGGCCGCTGTAGGTGCGCCTAGCGAAAGTCAGCGCGCGCGCACACCACCAATGCCAAGAAGGAAGCAATTCCATACACAAAAAGTTCAACGAATACTCCCACCACCCACCACATGTGCATGTTTGTGGGTATGTGTATTCAGTTGTCCATGTGTAGGTATGCTAGCGGGACGCTTTTGCATATTTATTTGCGTCTAAACTAAAAATAGCTTGCAATGTGAATTTGACGAAAGCAGCAGACAAAGAATTGTATAAAAGCGCATAAAAACAAATAGCGGCTGAGCAAAAACATAGCGGAATAAATGTTAGCAAAAATAAATAGAAAAATTACTGCAATTATGGTGCGAAGCAATTTCGTATTCTTGCAGCGTACGTCAGCGTCTGCACGCGTGTGTGTGTGTGCAGCTGTGTGAGCTGCTCGTTGCTACTGTGAGTGCTGTATTTGCATTAATAAAAACTAAATTAACAATTGTAAGCAATTTTATAATGAACACTAGTCTAAAGGTGGTGCTAATCTGCGCTACAAGAAAAAATGGATAAAAACGCTAATCTAATTGTTATGATAATGAATCGACAAGGGCTTAAACAAAGTAGTTAACTATCTTTTTTATGGTAAACAGGGTATATGGGGCTTGCATCGAAGGAAACCGATATAATATATTCTAATATGTACGTATGTAAATGATGAACGTGACCAGCTGAGTCGATTTGACCACATCCGCCTTTCTCTCTATATACGCGAACTAGTTCCTAAGTTTTTGAGTTATCGATCTGAATTTTGCACACATTTTTTTTCCAAGAAGCTGCACATTTGTCGGAACCACCGCTAACGGATCAGCCTAGCATATATGTAGCTGACATACAAACTGAATATTCGGAATCAAGTCCTTGGAGGGAAAACTTTTTTATTTAACAGAATATCTTCATGAAATTTGCCATGAGCTATTTTCTAAACCAGTTCTGTGATCTGCAGGGCAATTGCCTTGATTGGAGCTATATAGCATGTAGCTAAAATACAAACTGATCGATCAAAATCAAGACCTTATATGGAAAACTTTTTTATTTGACATCGTACTTCATGAAATTTGGAATAGATTATTGTGAAAGGAATTGTGTAGTACTATAATCTCCCAACATATTGTTCAGATCGGATAACTATAACTTATAGTTGCCATACAAACTAACCAACAAAAATTAAAAAAAGGACTGTTAATGCTCTTTTATGCTTTAATAAATGCGCCTGTAATGAATATTATATTGAAATGAAAATTTTTCTTGTTTTTTTTATTATTTTGAATTTAATTATTATTATTTTTTTATTTTTTTAATTCCATGCGCATACTTACCGCCACCGCTACGATAGCAGAGATATGGAAAACGCCACACATTGCCAATGCCTACCGCATAGCCGATACAGGATAACATAAACTCTGTTTTTGAGGCCCATTGACCGCGATTAGCATCACGCTCGGCGGTTCTTGCACCAGCGTTTATGGACTTGGCTGACGCGATATTCGCAGGCACCTGTGTGTAAGCGTCGGCTGATCCGTTGCCAGGATGTGAGTTGCTGCGACTGAACATTTCAGTTGATTTGTTGTACTTAGTTATTTAAAAAGTTAACTGAACAAGTACTTTACACAATTAGAAACCGCAAAATACAAGTTTTTAAAACTTGTTCTCAGTATTGGCAGTGCTTTTGAATGAGAATATACACGGTTTCTACACGGTACACGGTATACGGTATTTTGTATAGCACAAATCAGTACAGTACCCCAGGGTTTAGCAACCGACACTAACAACTTTAAATAACTTTATAAAAACTTTACATAAAATTCATTATAAAATAATCGGATACTTGTATCACAGCAGCTTCATATTATTCATAATACTTTATATGTATAATATTTTCACATTCCCTGCCTAGCAGTGCGTATGAGTAATATAATTTTTGTATACCAAAAGCATTCCTTTAACACTTCTTAACTTTTTTTGTTGTAATATATCTGCACTTGTTGCGCAAAAATATTTATTTATATAAGGAATACGCGCAAGGACCAAATTTTTAGCATCATTCAACAAGCTTTACAGCTTTTGTTAAAAGAATCTTGCTCTTATCACTTGCGCCATCACTGTACTTAACGCTACCGATCACTTGTGTACATCACACGTGCGCCGTCCATCGAAAACTGACTCAAAATCTCTTGAGGCGTGCAGTTTTTAGTGTACGTCCATAAAATCAACAGCGAATTTCTGTATTTTTTTCTAAACACTATAGCGACCAATTTTCTAAATAGCAATCATCATGCGCTCCCACACTGCTGCTCGATTGTGTGTGTGCTTTTTGAGATTTTATTGCCATTAAAATGACACTAACACAAATGGCGTGGCGAGTTGATGGAAAGCTTGGTGGTGACGTCGCAACATTTCATGTAGCACATGCACACACATTCAGACATGCAGTGTGATTTCTTTGCCTGCGAAGGCGCTCTGTCGCACTACTTAAGTGAATTTAGCAATGAATGCACCGAGACGAAAGATTTAACACCTACAAAACTAAATTGAGTTCATTTGAAATTGCGCTGAAAATTAAGCATTAACTGTGGCATATACATATGTGCATATGTATGTATGGTATGTACATAGGAGCGTACATACATATTTGAGTGGAGCTACATACGTAAATATGTGTGAATGTGTGAACACGTGTTGCTGATTTATTCAGAATTATACCAACTGTCCAATGCAAGGAAAGAGAATAAACGCTTTATATGCAACTAACGGTTTATTGGGACGATAACAGTAGTGGTTAAAAATTGATCCTATATTCGTCGTTTGGGCAGATCACTCACCATAAGCAACAGGTAATTAGAAATTTATGATACAGAACTCAAAAAAATTGTCTAAAGAAAAGGCCACGTCACAATGCCGCTTTATTTGCATATTTTCCACATAATATATGCAGAATATACATAAATTTTAAAAGTTTGGCACACACGACTACTTTCTTCCCTTACTAGTTTAATTTTAGTTTATCGCTATTTTTGTTATTAGAAAAATTTCTACGCCAAACAATGCTCTTCATTATGCACAAAAGTTCACACATGTACTATACATATCCATAGCATTGAAATATGCAATACTGCAGAGGCTCTTAACTTAACGCTTAGCATACAGAAAGGATTATCTTTGGTGCCTAAATGCATGCTTTGTTTTCTTTTTCTCGTTTAATCCGGCGAACTATAAACAAATACGAAGTAAAATCCGTTAAACTGAGTACAATACGAAAAAAATACTTTAAACTTATTTTTCATTTCTATTAAACACTCTGTACCCTTGATTTTTATTTTTAAAAGAAAGCAACTTGTATAATTTTAATAACACTTTTTATTTATTACAGAACTGCCGTTAAGCAATGTTTTTAATTAAACAAAGTAATATATTATTTTTAAAAATCAAATTTGTATTAACACTAAAACTATCTTCCACTCGGTGACGCCCTGTGGAGTCTGCATTATCTTCAATTGGTTGTCATTCATTCGTTTGAAGTTTTTGACAGCTTGGCGCAAATTTCACAATTCAATGTTTCTTTTGTTTGAAATTGTATCGCAATTGTACATATTTTGTGTTTTATATCATTTATTACGTTTATAGAGTGATTATCAATACTGCCTATATATATACATATATAAAACATACGATGGCGCCTACCAAGCACGCAAACGGAAGTGTGACTGCCACAGCGCTGACCACACTTGGGGAATCTGCAAATGATTCCGCTACACAGCAGGCTCTTCGTTATGTGCGCGATTTTTGCACGCATGCCACAAATTACCGAAACCAGCAAACTATTGAATCATTGGCGTTGCTAAATCGCTCCGCTTCATTACTGAGCACAACTGTGCAACCACAATTATTTAATCCTTTACAGTTGGAAACATCTAAACTTTTCATAGACTTGCATGCGGTTATGGGCAATTTAGCTGCTGACTCTGATGCACTTTGGGCTTGCGTCGCGCTTTTGCAACATTTAAGTCGCAATTTGACAGCACGTCGCGCATTAGTGCAGGATTTTCGATTTGTGCCGCTGTTGTCTTTTGTGCTTAAACGTTCGCATGGACAAGAGAAGATTCAAAAGTTATTAACGCTCATGCAAGATTTAACATTTGGCATACAAATTAGCTGGGAGGAACCATATTTAATAGTTCTACTCGAACAGCTAGTAAATATTATATATCAAGCTACTGAGGACAGTGAGGAAAGCCTGGCACAGTTGGCGCTGTCTGTGTTAATCAATTTGTGCTATAAAAATTTTGTGGTAATGTTTCTATTCTTACGTTCGGTGAATATTTCAAATTTTACGAAACGTATACAAAGCTTTGGTATGCTGGCGAGTAAAATGTTGATCATACTCAGTGAAGATACGCATACGCCTAATCAAAAAGATTTGGAGTTATTTATACGTTCAACGTTTGCTACCGTTGAAGAATGTATCAAAAGTTGGAACGTGCCGTATTTACATCATTTAATTGAATTTCTACTGGATTCCAAGTCACACTCGTGTCTACATCGCTCAATGCTAAGCTATACACATTATTGTGAAGATGTGGAGCGTCTACTTAACGTATGTGTTTTTTATTTACATTTATTTATTTGTTTATAATATTAAGCGATAATATTTCAGCAACTGGAGTCCTGTGGTCTCACAGAAGATGTAGAGGAGCACATCTCTAAGCAACGGCATACATGCCTAAGCTTAATTTTTCGACTGATATCCTATATCTTACAATTGAGCATAATTCCACAGACTGATGGCAAAGAAAACGTAATAAGCCTGGAATCAAATGTACCAAGAATATTTGAATTGCTTGGCAAGTGGCTGGATTCCGATATATGTGGAGTTGATACTGTGCACTTACTAAATGGTTTAATAACATTGGGTATTTATCTCCTTAAAATATTTGTTGAGTTTTATTTATTTGAATTAATTTTGCCACAGTTCCTAAGGAGTCGATACCGGCACGCATTGCGCGCGATCCCTCGTACATCGTGCAATTAATTAGTATATCCGAAAAACCAGAGACTAGGGCACGGCACATATCCGTTATCCTTCAATTGTTGTCCTCGCTCTTACATCACTCAAAGACGGAAAAGTTGGTTTTATCACGTATAACGGAGTCATATTTTGACAAAATGTTTGCACCGCTAATAAGCAGTGGTCGCACAGATATACCACTGAACGCAACAACACCGGAGGAGATCGAAAAATACACCTACTGCCTGCTATTATTAATCAATTTCGCGGGTGTGGCGAAGAAGGCGTATTTTGAGAAATGTTGCACGCTTTTACAATTCGCAACCATACAAAAGGCATTGGCACATGCCATGGTCGGAGGCAGTGAGGAGGTGTGCGGCGCTGTTTTCCAAATTTCTCAATTCGAACGTTTCCCACAAGCTGAAGTTGCAAATGTAAGTGGAAGTTGTCCTTATTTTTGCTCGTGTATAAATATATGTATGTATTATTCTTTTAATGTTAGCAAATCTCGAAACTAACACCCTACAAAGGTGTAGGTGGCAATAATAACTCCACAACAGACAGTGATCAGTGGCAAAGGTTGAATATTATAATGAAAAGTCACAAAACATTTGTGGGCAAGGAAATGGAAGAACGTCTAAATGCGCTGATTGAACTGATAAGCAGCGCGCATCGTAACAATCAGTTACAGAATGTCGCTATGTCGCAGGTTATTGAGTTATTCAATTACAAAAGTGAAATTTTTAGCTGCTCTGAGAGTTGCATGCAAAGGCGTTTGGAAATCGCTAGTGAGGAGGTAAGTTGTGTTGTTAAGTTATGTGTAGTGATTTTTAATTATTATTATTTTTTTTGATAATAAATAAATATTTTTTATTTTATTTATTTTTTCCAATTTTATGTTTACTTTTTTGTTTTAGTATTTTTTGTTTTGTTTTTGGTTTAATAATTTTTTATTTATTTTTTTTATATTTTTATTTTTAATTGTACTTTATTTATTTTTGTTTTATTATTTTTTATTATTATATTTACTGTTTGTACCCGTTTTTTTATACTCTCGCAACAAAGTTGCTAAAGAGAGTATTATAGTTTTGTTCACATAACGGTTGTTTGTAAGTCCTAAAACTAAAAGAGTCAGATATAGGGTTATATATACCAAAGTGATCAGGGTGACGAGTAGAGTTGAAATCCGGATGTCTGTCTGTCCRTCCGTCCGTGCAAGCTGTAACTTAAGTAAAAATTGAGATATCATGATGAAACTTGGTACATGTATTTCTTGGCTCCATAAGGTTAAGTTCGAAGATGGGCAAAATCGGCCCACTGCCACGCCCACAAAGTGGCGGAAACCGAAAACCTATAAAGTGTCATAACTAAACCATAAATAAAGATATTAAAAAATCGGATCGCATTAGGAGGGTAATTTTTTTTTGGAAAAGTGGCCGTGGCCCCGCCCCCTACTAACTTTTTTGTACATATCTCGAAAACTACTATAGCTATGTCAACCAAACTGTATAGAGTCGTTTCTTTTAGGCACTTCCATATACAGTTCATAAATGGAAGAAATCGGATAATAACCACGCCCACCTCGCCTACAAAGGTTATGTTGAAAATCACTAAAAGTGCGTTAACCGACTAACAAAAAACGTGAGAAACACTTAATTTTACGGAAGAAATGTCAGAAGGAAACTGCATCCAGACTTTTTTTTTTAATTTAAAATGGGCGTGGCGTCGCCCACTTATGGACCAAAAACCATATCTGAGGAAGTACTCGACCGATTTCAATGAAATTCGGTATATAATATTTTCTTAACACCCTGATAACATGTACCAAATATGGGTGAAATCGGTTCACAACCACGCCTGACATCTCAATTATCACTTTATCATGCGAGAGTATAAAATGTTCGGTGACACCCGAACTTAGCTCTTCCTTACTTGTTTTTTTTTTTTTTATTTTTAGATCACAAATTTAACGCAGCGCATCAATTTGCAAAATGCTGAGTTGCAAAAATATGAGATGATGAATTTCGAGCTACACGTCAGTCAGGAGGGGTAAGCTAAACTAACGTAATGTAAATAATTACTGACATTTAATTTATATATAAATACTTGGCCACAGCTTACAAACGCAATGTCAAGATTTGAAACAGCAAAAAGACAATCTGAAACATAATTTGGCGAGTTTGATGAAAAAGTTGTCAGAACAATCGGAATCGTTGCAAATAAGCGAAAAGCGCTTGACCGTTAAAGTCTCCGAAGTTATAGGTAATTAGAAAATATGCATATATGTATTGTTTGATATAATCTAAAAACTCTTCAAAATTATTTACTAGTATTGCAAAAGGAGAATGGCGAGCTGAAGGAGGAACTGACTACAAAAACCAAGGAACTGGAGAAAATGCAAACCAATACGCGAGAAAATGTAAATACTGAGTATACTTTTGGCAGCATTGAGATAGATTTACATATTATTCTTTTCGTTTATTTAGGCAACACGCATAGAAAAGTTGAAAAAGTCGATCGCTGCCTTCGAACTTGATATCAAGGAGAAATCACGTCTTATTGAAGAGCGCGAACGAGAATTGAGCAAAATACATAAGCTTTACGAAGAGCAGAAGGATGCAAAGAAGAAATCGGACGACGTTATATCCGTGTTGGAGGCGCAAATCCAGGACAAAAATGAGCAAATACGCAATTACGAGTTGGAGCTGAGTGAAACAGAGGAGTTACGCAAAACCATAATGAGCCTAATGGAAAGTAAAAAGCCCAAGCGAAAAACGTAAATCCAAGACTTTTTCGCTAGAATGCCATAAGACTTAAAAAAATTTAAATTTCATTAAGTTTAGTATTATTAGAAATATTTATTTCTTTTCGTAGAGAAAGAACGGAGTTAGGGAAAGTTGTGGGAAATTTTCGATGTTAGAAATTTGTTTTTTTTTTACAATAGTAGTTCGGCACTTATATTACTAAGTACATATTTAGTTAACATTTTAATAGTATATAAACATACATACATTACGTTTGCATATTCGATTTTCAAATGTAATAATGAACATATTTCATTTACATTTTATTTATATATATAGTAAACTGTCAAAATAAATTTTTAACAACATTCTTAACATGCATACCTTATATGACTCCCAAATGTTTTGTAAAATGTTTGCAAATGTGCTTCTATGAACAGCACCGCACACTGTTTAGTATCACTTGTTGTTACGTTGTAATTGTTAAAGCTTTGTTTTTGTATTTTTTTCGTTTTTGTTTTGTAAAATTAGTATATATTGCAAACTAAATTAAATAGTTATGTCAAATTCGCTGCAAACACTGCCAGCGTTAGCAGCAAGAGCGCCGAGGCTATGCTGCGCACCGCCGCATTGCCAGATCTGCTTTCCACATCGCCATCACTGCCACCACCGATGGGACGAGATGCGCGCTTCTCCGCTTTCTCGCAGAGCGTGCCGCAGTTGGCGTGCTCGCATATATCGCAAACAACGGATTTTGGCGCACGGTAGAATTGACGCGCCCGACGAGCTGCGTACGATATAGTATTTTAGTTATTTATTGGTTAATATAAATATTTATATTGGCTTCTCACCATTATCATAGTAGTCGTACATGACCACTGGCACCAGCTGATGGCCAGTCACTTTTACAGTTTTGTAAGCATGCAAAGTTGGACAAACCTCCCGTCTGTCCAAATAGTCGAAGTAAATTACGACGACTGTATTGCGGCGTTGCGTCTCCACACGCTGAAACGTCGTTAAAATACATTTAATTGCGGTAGCTGAAACATATAAAAATAAAAATAGAATGCAGTTATTACCTTAATTCTTTCGCTGGATTCCAGGGTAGGCAGTGTTTCAGTGTCGACCACAAAGCCACTGGGTAAATATATTTCCATTAGAGCCATATTAGAGTGACTAGCATCACCCTCGACGGACACAAAACTAAACAGCGCAAACAAAAAAAAAAAAAAAAAAAAAAAAAAAAAAAAAAAAAAAAAAAAAAAAAAAAAAAAAAAAAAAAAAAAAAAAAAAAAAAAAAAAAACAAATGTGTTAGAAAATCCTAAAAAAAATTGAGTTTCTTCCTTTTACGCTTACCTAGCACAAGCCGACAAATGCAAATAATCCGAATGTGAGTTGCGATTCACTGTCGGATCTAACACAAACCTCGGCCATGCGCTCGTCACATTCGTATTGTAAGTGTAACTGAGTTGTGCGAACGCCATGCCACGCCCTGTAGCCGATATGGTTACATTCTTTATGGTATTGGGTAGCTGCGTTCGAAATAATTTTGGTTAAACATTAGAAATTTGCATAGTATTATCAAACGAAAACTCACCTCGTAGCTTTGCAGCGCCAGCGAATTCTGTGCATTCACATTAAGCGTAGTCTCGGCGCCCTGTCCATATTGCACATTGATCTGCACATTATTTGCTTGGCTCGAAAAGCGTTCGGCAAAGGACATCAGCGCTTGTATGCCAACCACAGTATCCTGCGAAGAGACAAAACCACCGAAAACATTACGCTGATCCGCCAGCCACTTGAGCACTGGCAAAGCGTCGCCGATCAGATTGTTTTCGAGCAACGCGAGCGCCGCATATGATGAGATCTCAATGTTGACCGAACGTGTGCGATTGTACCATGGCGATGGCCCTTCGGCGGTTGGCGCTGTCTTATTCCACCACTTTTTGCCATCTGTAAGCAATTACAAGAAAATAGTTTTTTAAATAGATAGATGGTGATGTGCATACATTTGCAGCGGTGTACAAACCTTCATTGACGGCCATTGCATCGAGCCGTTGCAGAAAAGCGCTTTTTGTGTTGTGATTGGCGCGGGATAGCACGTAAGTGCCAATGGCTGTCGCATGCAAATCGTTAGAATTATCCAGGCCACGAGTTAGGTAGTCTAAAGCCTTGTTGAGGATATTCGTGTATTCAGGATAGGATTTCTGTAGAAATGATGAGTGAGTTTACAACATTTAAATTTTAATATTATATATACAGGTAAATACCGTTAAAAACACTTGTTTTATTATTTAATATTTTCATTTATTTTCTTAAATTATTATTTTCATACTCTTGCAACTAGTTGCTGCAGAGTATCAAAGCTATGTTCACCAAACGGTCGTATGTATCACCTAAAACTGAACGAAATGTTCGAATATAAAAGTTTAAGACTTAAGAAGTTTAAGAAACACCTGGAAATCCTCCCACACTCGATTTCAACACCCCCCCTTAGGAAAACAGCATCATTTTGACTATTTTCTCTTCAAAAACCGGCGACTTGGGACACATTTTTATTTTTCTAAATTTCTGGGTTAATCCAAATTTAAAATTTCTTTAATACAAATATGGCCCGTTCGATTCTGCAAATTTCTGTATTTTTACTTTTTCTCTACGACCAGTAGTTTAGAAGTTATAAGCATTTTTGCATTCGGCAGCTGCTTGCTACATGCTCCTGGTCGCCTGGTGGAAATCTGAAATTTTGGCACCAAATGGAATGCAATTTTTTCTGCAGCGGCAGCGGATGCCCCAAAAATTTGTGGGATGGAATGCATACGCAAAGGGGCGAAATTGTTAATTAGGATGCGGGACATACTCACGGGAAGGAAACATGAAAAGGTCCTCGACCGGAAGCGGAATAACGGTACTACACTTCCGGTTCGAAGACCCAACCGGAAGTAATATACCGGAAACGGATGTTCAGTGACCGGAAACGCAATTGACCGGAAGCGGAATAACGGTACTATACTTCCGGTTCGGACTTCTAACCGGAAGTCGTTTACCGGAAACGGATGTTTAGTGACCGGAAACCCCTTCACCGGAAGCGAGATAACGGTGCTATTCTTCCGGTTCGGAGACTCAACCGGAAGTAATGTTCCGGAAACGGGTGCGACTATCTCCTGATTTCCGGTTTAGGACTTCCGGTTGGTACTTCGAACCGGAAGTATATTACCGTTATTTTACTTCCAGTCGATGACCTGTTCCTCTTTCCGTCCCGTGAGTATGTCCCGCATCCGTATCAACAATTTCGCCCCTTAGCGTATGCAACCTATCCCACAAATTTTTGGTGCATCCGCTGTGGCTGCAGAAAAAATTGCATTCAATTTGGTGCCAAAATTTCAGATTTCTACCAGGCGACCAGGAGCATGTAGCAAGCAGCCGAGGAATACAAAAATGCTTATAACTTCTAAACTACTGGTCGTAGAGAAAAAGTAAAAATGCAGAAATTTGCAGAATCGAACGGGGCATATTTGTATTAAAGAAATTTTAAATTCGGATTAACCCAGAAATTTAGAAAAATAAAAATGTGTCCCAAGTCCCCTGTTTTTGAGGAGAAAATCATCAAAATGATTCTGTCTTCCTAGTGATGGTGTTGAAATCGAGTGTGGGAGGATTTCCAGGTATTTCTCTATCTATTCCGAGTCAAAAACTTTCAAATTCTAGCATTTTGTCCATAAACGATTAGTTTCTGACGATAATATCTAACTTTTGGTTTGATAATTCTTTTTGATAATTAGGCAGTCCAGATCTGATGTACTTAGATGCCTTAAATATTTATGTCTAAATTTTCAAAAGATGCTCTCCTCAGCTCGTTTTTAGTTCCCTTTAATGCCCGTCTGCCGCCCATCAAAACAAAAAAAAAAAAAAAAGAATGGTCCTCTTTCTTTCTTAGCGGTTAGCACATTAGTTTGAAATAGACTTCCAGAGCTAGATACAATAAAGAAGAAACGAACGATAATAAGATAAGAAGATTTGACCTCTCTTACAGAGTTTATTACGAAATCGCTGGTATGAATTAGACCAATGCTATAGAAATTGATGTATCGGGAAGACTTACTCCTGAGTATTTAGGATAGAACTTGGTTGACAAGCCTTAACTTTAGATCATCTTCGGATAATGCACGATTTAAGTGTCTTAAGGTATTTAGTATGTAAAAGCGCTGTATTTCTGTGTATCCAAAATGGATTGAATTGGTGATTGTATTATATGTGTGGTAGCTCAACTAGTTAATACCACCCCAACTTCCATATCTTCTTCTTTATTTGTCGGTCAATGTATGAGTTATGCAGGGTATAAGTATATATAAAATTGTTTACATTCCGATCCTCTGGTTGACGTTTATATCTTAAGTTATCCATCTGTTTGATTCTTCAAGTGGCAAGAGTGTAAAATGTTCGGTTGCACCCGAACTTAGCCCTTCTTACATGGCTTTTGTTTTGAAATTGTCCATTTTCTTAAATACATATATGTAGTATATATTTTTTTAAAGTATTTATTTATTTTTCTTTTAAATTTTAAATTTTAGTTTTTTATTTTATTTATTATTTTTTTAATTAAATATTATTTTTGTGTTTTAATTATTTATATCGTTATAATTATAATTTTTTGTTTGAAATTGCTTATTTTCTTAAATTATTATTTATATTTTATTTATTGTTTATTGTTTATTGATTTTTATTTTTTTATTTTAATTATTACTATTTTCAATAATTTTAATTATTTATTTTTTTAATTATTCCCTTTCGTTAAATATAATTTCTTCTTTGTTTGGAAATTAATTAATTTTGTGTGATCAATCGCTTTATTTCACTTACCACGTTCTCCATAAAGGCCAACGTTACAAATGCCGTTAAGCTCAAACCATCATCACCGAAATCCTCGAATACATCTCCCCTCTCTTCAAAGCCGCCGTTAACATTTTGTGTGCCAACTAAATATTCCAAAGCACTCCTCACAATCGCCTCATCCACGTAAATATGCGGTGCTGCTTGTCGCAACGCACGTGCCACATAAGCGGTTAGCCACGTAGAGCCCCGCGTTTGCTCTATGCCAAAAGCGCTGAAAGCACCGTTCATATGTCGGTAGTAGAGTAAGTGTTGATAGCCCACTTCCATATTGTGTTTGATACGCTGCTCAATAGCCGGTGACAGTTGGCTGATGCGCTAAATATTATTATTATTATTTTAATTTAATATTAATGTTGATCAGGCTTTTACCATAATTTGTTAAAAATTTATTTTCAACGTAACAATTACCTGCAGATAACGTAGCACCAACAAGTTGGGCATAAAGTGCACCATGGTCTGTTCACCGCAGCCCGTAGGCAGCGTTATTAAATGCTCTATATTTCCCAGCAAACTACCTATAACATCACCGACGGCAGTCACTTGTATTTTGGTTGAGTCGGCAATTGCATTTCGTGGCACCTTGACGGTGATGTTCGTTTTGGTTTGTGGACTTGAGCTGAGCTCAAAGAGGAAGCCATGATTCACCGTTTCCGTAGCGCCTGGATATTCGACAAGTAGTGTCGTTTCGATCGTGTCGGCAGCCAGCTGAGCGTTGGCCACAGCCTTAACATTAATGGCGCCGACACGTTTGGGTTTCACAATAAAAGCGACAGGTTTCACAGATTGAGCTAGCACACGTACTTTACGACTTCTATACAGTTCGATCTCTGGAAGAAAGGCGATGTTTAGAAAATGTTGCGTTAGGTGAGTTGTTGTTTGTAAAAGGTATGTATTGAAACTTGGTGTGCACTATTTACTTGGTGTGGGATCGCCGTTACTATCGAGTGGTGGGAATTCGAAGTCCTGTGCGGTATTGTAAAACGTGACTTCCACATCCAAATCGCTGTTCTTATTGTTGGTGACAACGAAAGGCAAAGCGATGGTCTCTCCTACGTAAAAATAAATTTATGATAAATAGAAATAAATGGTTGTATGCAGTATCGCCATTACCCTTTCTAATCGAATATGGCACTTCGGTCGTAATATAGAATTCCTTATATGACTGCAGTGTTTTCGCTGACTTCGTCAAACCCAAACCGGTTATTGGATCTAGTGAAAACGCGGACAGCACCCATGAAGTCATGGAACTAGGTATGCGACGATGTAAGGTCGTACGTCCCTCATTACCCGCCGACATGTTTAGGAAGAGCCAAGTGTCAGCCGGTTCATGCATCAAATATATGCGCGGATTATGCCAATAGGGTTTGGGCGTATAGGAGAAAGCGTAACGACCCTTCCCCGGCGCCAAAGTGTTCACTTCGATGTGATGTGCTGGTCCTATATCCGTCTTTCGTATTGTTGTCAACTTATTGTCGTCATCGTCATAGTCATGCAGCAAATTCGGTGTAGTTTCCGGTTCTGAATATGACGACAATTATCATTACCACAATACATAATAACTGCAGGTGCTTACCCTTTTCGATTATGAAATCAGCGTTCGACATTGTTATAACACCCGATTCTTTGCCAGGCGATCCGCTTTGAGTATTGACATCGCGCAGTTCATAGGTTTTTAACGCTGCCATTAGCCCCTCATAGCTGAGGTCGTTGCCTAAAATATCAAGTTATATATTCAGATAAGTTCAGCTGAGTTAAAAAGGGAAAAATCGCTTACCTTTTCTTATATTCGCCGCATTTAGATCAACTAGCATTAGTCCGACATACGAGTAAGGTTTCGTTGTGATTGTTATATCGATGTCTTGGCCTGGCGGTGCTTTAAGCGGCGCTTCCACTTGCACCTAACAACCAAATTGATAATTAATATTAATAAAATTTTTTTATATTTTCTACTCACATTATTTATCAAAGTGTGCTCGAACTCGATCACTTGCTCGTCATAAATAAACTCTCCATTCACCACCATATAGATGAGGAGTTTGGCGCGCGGCATCATAGCGAATGTGGCCAAAAATTTGAAAGTATGATAGTTGCTATTATCCACCTAACAATAGTTTATTTTATTTTAAAAGTATTTATTTAATTAAAAAAATATATTTATTAAAAAATAATTGTATTGGTTATAATGAATATTACTAAATTTTATATCTATATAAAGTTCGTACCTGAACAGCATGAGTTGTTATAATATCGCCCCGCCCTACAATTTGATATACAAAATACTTCATAGGTTCATTGGAACGCACAGCTACAGCGACTTCCTGGTTTATCACGGGCCTAAAAACACATGAAACGAAAAAAGACGTTAACTGCGACTTCACCAAAGCTATAATATCCCTACATCATTACGGACTATCCCTGCAATTTTTAAAGTATAAAATGGCATAACAAGATCTTAAACTTGACTCTGATGGGTCAATTTTTATGAGAGCCATAGAATAAGGCTGTGGTCCGTTTGGAACAATATATTGCGAGCTTCTGGCGCTTTCTGGATAATAATTTAAGCATTACTTCTTGAAGATAGGTTAGGTCAATCTGGTAGAACAATAAGACACGCATATACCAGTTCGGTACTTTGCGATACCAGATGGAGTTCATTTGTAGTTAATATCAACCCCAGCCACTTCGCTAGAGTTGCCAAAAAAGAATTGGCTAGATGATTCCACCTCGCGTTCCTCTAAAGAGCTTTGGCAAAGAGCGTCCGACAGAATATTTAGCTTCACCGCGTGTGATCCCATTAGACAGTGTTAATCAGAACACCTAAAATTGCGGAGAGATTGACTTTGCTGAGAGCCTGTAGTTTAGGTAGCCTCACTCAGGACCAGTCAGTTAGTTTATATCTCCTATAGTGGTCTGATATAAATGGTTTTGACAAATAGCTTCTTGAACAGAAAAGAACGTATGCAAAATTTCCGATTGATTTCTCAAAAACTGAGGAACTAATTCAAGTATGTATATATAGAAGAACTGACAAACTTAATGAAGAGAATAATTAGCCTTCTAAAATAGCAGCAGTAAGCTGACCAGAATGGATTATAAGAGTTTATTTTTACTTACTTATCATTCAATATTTTTGCAATAATATAATTTTTGCTATGCAAGTGTTTACGTGGTATTTTCCCGACGTCCGTGATAATGCCAATATAGTTCACCTGTGGAGAAGAAGATTGAATGTAAATTCCACTACATATACATATATATATGTATCTCGAATAAAGGGACTTCGAATCTTTGTTCTTTGAATTAGTAGTGATTACTAGAAATACTTTTTTTTTTTACTTTTGCTTTCTAAACCAACTTTTCACCATCGCTTTCTACCCACAACTTACAATAACGGAATGATATTCATCCTTATCACCATCTGGCACTGTAAATTTCATTTTGAATTCGCCATCCGTATTGATGCCATATACAGTTTTATTGTACATTTCACTACTACCATAGACATTAGTTAGATATGCTGTCGCCTCGGGTGGAAAGTCTTTGAGTTGAGCACCATCATTACGGACTATCTTTGCCTGAAATCAAAATTTAATATATTTATTTATTTATATATTTTTTATCGACTTCATTGTGCTTTTCTAAGCACCCCCATTTGCATTTACTTACCGTTACTTCAAATGGCACACCCGGTATATAATAGCTAGGAATTCGTACAGTCTCAACACGGTATGCATCTAAATGCACCGTTATCACAGTAGAGAAGTTCTGCACCGAACCTGTGGACTTTTCTTCAACTAACGCATCTAACAAGTATTCGCGTTCGTAATCCTCCTTCAGTTTAAGCTCGTCGCGTATATCGAATTCGAAGAAGGCATTGCCGTCAATGGGCACCACTTTTCTCGTAATCAAATCGTTGACGAATGGTTGCAACGAACCGAAGAATGTGGGGTAAATGGAGAGTGTAGCCTCACCTTTAATTGGTTCACCGTAGGCATAACTAGAAGGAAATGATGTTTTATATTAACCGCTACTTTGTTAAACGAGTTGCAAAAGAACACTCGTAATTATAATATAACAAATCAATGAAAATTTTAAATAGTGTGGTCTTCTGTGCTACACGTTTGCCCAGCAATCAAGCGGTGTTCTTTTGCGCTACGATTTTATATCACAATTTACTTACTTTGCCTTGACGTTTGCGCGAATTTTGCCATCTTTGTAGATCGCATGCTTCGCTGTATCTATATCCACCACGAATTTCGGCAATATATATTCAACCACTTCGAACGTACCACGGTGTGACTCGTCCATCACCTCAACATTCAGCGACCACTCACCCATTTTCGGATAGTCGGACAATTGTAGCTCATTGCTATAAACGGCATTTGTTAAACGCACATCTCTGTAATTTTGTATGATGTTATCGCCAGCATCCCGTATTATTATATGCACACGCCCGGTATTTCGTGCTGGCTTCAAATTGGCGTCCAATACGAGCACACGATAACGCACCAAATCACCAGGCCGATAAATTGCTTTGTCGGTTTGCACCAATACTGTAAACTGTTTTGTGTCGAAGTTAAGCTGTGTTTCATTGGTGAATATGGCGCCACTGAGACCCTCAGCCGTTAAGTTGTAGCGATCACGTTTTAGTGCCGGTACCTAATGTGCGAATTGAAGGCAGTCTTTATAGTGATAAGGTACAGAAAAGTGAAAATCGTTTGTTTACCTCGAAATACACCAACTCCGTGGAATATGGTCGCACTTCCGCGAATTTAAAATCGGTATAACTGCTACCTATTATACCCAATTTCACTTTCACTGGTTCTGGCGATTTATGTACACTCACCGCTACATGGTATTGTGAGTTGGGTCGCAACGTGTTGGGCGCAATTATTGAGTAAATACTGTAAGCAAAAAAGGAAACAAAGTTAATATAACTTTCGTATCTATAATTATTATTTATTAAAATCTATTTAAAAGGAACTACATTTTCAAAAATTTGAGTCTATTTATGACTAAACAAAGTCTTATAAACTTCTCCAACATATGTATTTGTCCAACAGGCTTAGAAATGCAAACTCGAACAGTATTTCAGAAAATCCTGGTTCATTCAGTAATTAATGGCGTTTGACAAAAGCTGATCGTCTTGAATTTTTGCTCATCCAATTTCACACCTAACCACTTTACCTTTATATATTTCAACGTGAGTATCAAATTGGTTTTCAAAAATTCGTTCCGGCAATTTCGATTTTGAGAATGCACCACATTCTGGAAGCACTATTGGAGCAGATGTGGCTAAAATAAAATCATTGGTCGGTGGAAATCATCGTAAAAAAACTAGAGACATTGCTGAAAGATCGAATTTGATTAACGCCACTGCTTGACATGGGGGTTCCTTACAGAACGTAATTTGCTTCGTCAAAAAAATAATCCATTTTTGAAGCGCCATGTTACTGGCGACGAAAAGTGAGTTGGTTTAAAGCACGAGAGATTGTAGTCGAAAAAGGATGAACCAGCTGAAACTTCGAAAGCTCAAGGTCACAAAAAATGTTATGTTAGCGCAAACCACTTCGAAGGCCGATAGTCACCAAAAAAGCTTATGTTGTCTGTTTGGTGGTGTGATTAATTCTGAAGTGTGTTGTCATCAGCTGGACAAACCGAGTGATGCGCTCAAACAGAAGTGGTCAGAATTAATCCGCCAAAAGCCTTTGCAGCGTAATTGGGATGTGCTATAACATCCAACACATTTTCCAGACTTGGAGTTTGCAGAATATTACTTGTTCTGGTCTCTGTAAAATATTTTCGATGGGATTAAATTTTCTGCAAGGATCAACAATGAGTGTGAAATCAATAAAAAAAAAACGTGTTTAAATTGCATTAAAAAAACGAATGATAATGGCAAGCAACGCGGTAATTTGCATAGCAGAGGCTCACAAAATAGATTTACAAAGCAGCCTGAAGATTTATGGATCCCTTCCTTTGTTGGATAAAATCATGTAAAATATGTATGCTTTTGTATATGTGCAATTTACATTTTATTTTATGTTGCATATTTAAATTGAAATTGCCACAATAAAAGTCTGCACGGAAGCGGAAGTAACCACAAAAATATATATTTACCACAATTATGCAAAAAATATTGTGTGCGAGGCTGTGCCCATATGCATCTTGGGTACCGCATGTACAAAGCATTGTTCGCGTGGTTAAGTAATCATAATGAACATGGTTCATTAGTTGGAGAAAGAAATAAATATGTATGCCTTAATGAAGGTATACGAGTGTATATAAGTATGTAGATAGGTGGACTTAAGTAGATACTTTGGGTGTTAGAGATTTGGTTTTTTGACTACAAAATAATTTGTATGCCCTTATGTTGTCGAAAAAGGTTATCCATGAAAATTAATATTTTTAAACCAGAAGAATTTATTTGCCTTCCATTATATATAGGTATGTAGGTAAGCTGAGTGGTATCTGATGATTTAAGCCTTTAGGAGACCCATTGTGTAATCACCGGTACTAAAATCCGGTTGTTGCTCTCTGAACCACTTAGTGCTTCTGATGAAGATTATCCTCACAAAAAGCTTTCCTGTGTAAATTGCGAAACATCGCCAAGAAACCCTCGGCCGACAGTTGGGATTATTTTCCCATATAATATAGTATCCTTTTCTTCTACCTCCTGGCAGCTTATACAATAGTCAGTATCTGCCAGTCCGATGGCATATCTGCCAATTAGATGGTGATTAGATGGTGACCTGTTAGCACTCCTGCTGGAGTTCTTATATTATTCCTTTTGAATTTGAAAAGTCGGCATGTGCGGCCCATATTCCAGCACAAGTCAAATGCATATAAATTTCCTCATTTCCGGGGTCTGATTGTAGGGTGATGGCTGTTCTACGTCTGCTTCAAAGTTACCAGAAATATCACTATATCCTGGAATCCATTGCAGGTTTATCGTCCAATAGAATGCTAGATCCACTAAGAGATCAAAGCATTTTTGCACCCTAAGAGATTTTAGTGAATCCAAAGCCCCTTGGCTATTTTTTCGTATAAATATATATACTTGTCAGACCAAGAAGGTCTGATCTCCGCTTAGAAAACCTTGCAGTGGCCTGGTAGATGGAAGACAATTTTGGTATAAAATTTTGTTGAAAAGACACCACCTTCAATTGGATAAAGTAGTGTGAATCCATCCGTATAGATACTTATTCCTGCGTCCTTATTCACCACGCCCCTTTCTCACTCTTTCTTGGAAACTCAATTTAAGAGGAATTCTATAGGATCACAAAAAAAAAAAAAAAAAAAAAAAAAAAAAAAAAAAAAAAAAAAAAAAAAAAAAAAAAAAAAAAAAAAAAAAAAAAAAAAACCGTGATAGTAGGTATAAAGGGGAACTTACTGCGAATGACCCTTATTATCGGCGACTAATTGGGAGCATTTCCTCGGTATATGGTAAGGACTGACTTCGTTGCCGCTTGTCTATTGACAATAAATGTAAAATGGCGTTTAGTGCTTGGTTTGGCATTGTTATAAGAGTTCCACCGATGCATATAACTGCTAGCAGATCTTTTTATGTCGCTTATGCCTTTTCCATTATTAGCTACTATACCAATATTCTGTATGCCCTACAACTGCTATAGCATATAGCTACCATACGAGCTGTATGATCAAAATCAAGTTCTTGGATAGACAACTTTTTTACTTGATAGTCCCATTATAGCATAAAGCCGAGAAACAAGCAAAATCCAGTTCTTATATGGAAACAATTTTATCGTAAAATCAGTTGAGTGTGCTGCCCTAGTACACATATTATTTCTGTAACGCTAAAGTTTTGTTAGGTATTTAATTAAGCTGGCTTTTTTACCAAAAATATTTTCCCACAGCAATACCAAAAGGAAACGTATTTAATTATTACTTTTTTGTGTGTGCTAAATTCCAGTCTGCAATACATACATACTTGTGTATGCACATGTTTATTATACTCATATTTTTTGCCATTTATCTACTTATATGTATGCGTATGCTGCCTGTACTTATTTTCATTGCTTTTACTTTGCAGCTTTTAGCGGTCTTCTAACTGGACATATCTATGACTCGTCAACATTTTTGGTGAGATTAGTTGCGGATCGTCATAGTAGACATAGCGCTGGCGTTTTTCTGCTTAAAAAAATATATATAAACATATATACATATATTTTTATGTGAGTAATCACAAAATAGCTATGTAGGAAGCAGCCGGAAAGAACGAACAGAAAATGCGAACAGAACGTGTAGGATTGTTCGAAAATGGAAAAGATAAATCTTAACTGCCAATTTGCAGGTATTTATATATAGAGGTATGTATGCTTATCTCAATTAGGTCAAGCGTTAAAAGTTAGTTATGAAATAAATTTCGAAAAGTAATTTTATTAGTTATTTCACCAATATTTCAGCACGTTAAATATTTGAAATGCTGGATAATTGGTTGTTTTTTGTTATCATATTTTTTTGTTTGACAAAAAAATCGGTAAAAATAGTTTTGGTCACAGCTGCCGTAAGCGTTGTGATTAACTATTGTGTAAGAAGAAGAAGAAATTAATTATGTTTTCAAATAATATAAGAAGAGTAAAGTTGTGAGTTTTGCAACATCTGCCCAAAGATGAAGAAATCGTTATGGCCAATTAAAGTTAATAATCAATTTCGGTTTTATATATGTATGCAAGTAAATTCATATGCATGCATTAGAGCGGTCCGTATTTTCTATTAAATCGCTTATGCGTAAAATGTTGTACGGAACATTCTGAACAACTTTGTCTAAGAGAATATGGGTTCTGAAACCGCTTTGGAGTCTGTGATTTGTAGGTGACGTTTAAGTTTTCTGCATTCTTCGTCAGTTTTTGAGAAATCTGCGATTTAATACAAAGGTGTCTTTTGAGTTTCTAATGATCATTTGTCGGAATCAGCCAAATCGGATAACTATATCACATATCTCCTATACAACCGACAATAACTGTTCAGTTATTTTATATTCCGGTTGTCTGCATGTAAGGTAGTAATTTAATATACCGTATACTTAACAATAACTGTGAAAATAAAGAAAATCTACTAAACTATGTCATATATGTTTTCCAA